CCCCTCCTCGAAGGGGAAGAAGGAGGGGTGGAAGAGGAAACTCCCTAAACCACCGACGCCCAGAGGGCTGGTGGGATTACTCGAGCAAGACAAGTCAGTAAGACCACCCTTAAGTGCAATGATGGTTTTGGGAGTACAGAAACCCCGATTATTTGCTTTCTTAATGTGACCGTTTGTTTTCTTTCGCGTATTGCAGCTAACATGTTTCGTTTGACCATTATTTTGTCTAGGCTCCTCTGCAAGAGGACAGGAACCGCCAGCCTCCTCGCAAACGGACGTACGACATGTACTGATTTCGTATGCTACAGAACTGCTGTCGTACTTGCCATGCCCCGACAGATGAGGTGGTTGAGCAGGCGTACGGTGTCCCTGAATGGAAGTGCCACGCCGGCTGCAGCAAACTAATCAGGGTTGCCAAGCTGTTTCTACGGGTCCTTGAGGAGGAGGAGGAGGAGAAGGAGGAGGAGAAGGAGGAGAAGGAAGAGGAGGAGGAGGGGGAGGAGGAGGGGGAGGAGGGCTGCTCCTCCTGGCCCTCGAGAAGGAGGAGGAAGAGGCGGAGGAGGAAGAGGAAGGAAGAGGAGGAGGAGGAGGAGGAGGAGGAGGAGGAGGGAGGAGGAAGAGGAGGAGGGAGGAGGAGAGAGGAGGAAGAGGAGGAGGAGGAGGAGGGGGAGGAGGAGTAGGAGGAGGAGGAGGGAGGAATAGGAAGAGAAATAGGAGAAGGAGGAGGAGGAGGAGGAGGAGGAGGAGGAGGAGGAGGGGGAGGGGGAGGAGGAGGAGAGGAGGAGGAGGAGGAGGAGGGGGAGGAGGAGGAGGAGGAGGAGGAGGAGGAGGAGGAGGAGGAGGAGGAGGAGGAGGAGGCTCCTCCTGCACGGGCTGGCTGCGGGCCACCCGCAGGGACGCGAAGGTCGGCGCGCCTCGCGCGCCGCAGCCCGGGCTGGACGGCCCTAGGCTGCCCTTGTCTCCAGGGTGGGAGCCCCCCCGCGAGGGAAGGCGACGGCGCGGGGCGCGAATCGCCATGTTGGGTGGCCTAGGTCTACCTCCTCCTCCTCCTCCTCCTCCTCCTCCTCCTCCTTTTCCTCTTCCTCCTCTCCCTCCTCCTTCTCCTCCTCCTCCTCTCCTCCTCCTCCTCCTCCTCCTCCTCCTCCTCCTCCTCCTCCTCCTCCTCCTCCTCCCCCTCCTCCCGACCTCTCTCCTCCCTCCTCTCTCCCGCGCCGAGCCGCGATCGTCGCCGATCGGCAGGCCCCCTTTTGCCACGGAGCGGGGCAGTCGCCACCGCCACCGCCATCGCCGTCGTCGCCGCTGTCATCGTCGTCATTGTCGTCGTCGTCGTCGTCGTCGTCGTCGTCGAAGTCGAAGTTGAAGTCGAAGTCGAAGTCGAAGTCGAAGTCGAAGTCGAAGTCGTCGTCGTTGTCGTAGTCGTCGCCATCCTCATCGTTTCCTCATCGTCGTCCTCGTCGTCGTCCTCCTCGTCCTCCTCCTCCTCGTGTTTGTCGTTGTCCTTGTCATCGTCCTCCTCCTCGTCCTCCTCCATATACTGCCTGATCCCCTGCAGTAGCGCTGGATGGCAGGGGGCAGCACTGCCGAGGGGGAAGGGGGTGAGGAGCAGGGGGAGTGAGTGAAAGCGAGGAGCAGAGGGGGGTAGGGTGCAGCGGGGAGGGTGGAGGTAGTGGCAGGGAGGGGGGAGGGGGGAGGAGGTAGCGGGGAGGCAGAGACGTGGGAGGTAGGAACGGGGAGACAGGAAGGGATGGAGCGAGGAGGAGGGGGGGGAGAGGAGGAAACATGGGGAGGATAAGCTATTGATCCCCACTCCACCTTCTCCTCCTGGCCGAACTCGAGCGTGACACATGTGCCGGGGCGATTCCCGAGTACCACCCAACCAGAGAGCCGTCGGGCCTGAAGGATGCATCTGGCGCCGCGGCCTTTCCAGAGCTTCCGGAAACACCTCGCGAGAGCATTCTGGAACACCCTGCACAGACGCATCATCATCCTGAGGCCTGCCCGAGCCGCTCGGAGCAGAAGTCGGCGAACAGGGCAGGCATCCTGGAGACGGGGAGAACTGCTTGTGCAAGCGAGGCTCGGGGGCCTTTTGGGCTGTCCTGAGGCCATCTTGGAGGACTCCTGGGCACTCTGGGGGCGATCCTCAGAGGCCGTCTTGGGGCCATTTTGGAGGCTCCTTGGGCCGTCGTGGGGTCATTTTCTGGGCCTTCGGCGCGATCTTGGGATCTACGCTCGACGTCGCCGGCCTTCGCAGGGGCGGGGAGCCGGGGGCCGCGAGGGCCTGGTCTGGGGGGCCGCGCCGAGGGGATCGGATCTGGCCGAGCTCGGCGCGTTCCCCCTCGAGGCGCCGAGGGCCCGGGAGGCACATGGGCCGACGCTTCCGCCCGCGGCCAGGCACGCCTGTCCTGCGAGGGGCGGGCGAGAGAGAGAGCGAGAGCGAGAGCGAGAGAGAGAGATCGAGAGAGAGAGAGAGAAAACAAAAAGAGAGAGAGAGAGAGAGAGAGAGAAACAAAAAAAGAAAAAGAAAAAGCCTAAAGCACGAACAACAGAAATCGGTAAATAAAGAGAGAGAGAGAGAGAGAGAGGGCAACAAGGCAGGGGGCGGGGAGGGAGGGGGACAGAGAGAGGGAGAGAGAGAGAGGGGCAGAAATGGGAGGAGACCTCGAAGAGAGAGCAGCGCACCTTCCCGTCGAGTCTGCGGCCACCCCCACGGAGCGCAGCGCCGCCGGGCAGGCCCCGGGCAGAGCGGCGGACAGGCCAGCCCCTTCCGGGGGCCGCCCTCTGCAGCGGACCCGCGGTCCTGGTCCGGGGGTGACGGGGCGAGCCCGGCGTCAGAGGGCGGGGATCAGGAGGGAAAAACACACAGACACAAGTAATCGCCGATTCCCAGGAAAATGCGGGAAAAGATGGGAAGTGGTGGGGGGAGAGACAAACCTCGAAAAGATGGGAAAACATTGTGAGCCCTGCTATTTGCGTATATTTATTTATGTGTCCTGGGGCCCCTTCAGGGGAGCGTGCGGGCCAGACCTTCTCCGATCGCCGCTCCCCGGGGAAGAGAAGTCACCACAGGCTCGGGCGGGCGGTAAGGGGGCCGGGGGCGGCCAAGAAGGGGGCGAGGACTAGGAGGGGGTATCTCATGGCGGGGGCCAGGATGTCTCCCCAGATTTCACGGCGCCTCGTCTGATTTCAATGCGTTCCCGACCCCCCTCCTGGGCCGCGCACGTGCCTCTGGCCATGATTTGCGCTCCCTCCCCCCCTCTTGGACGCCCCCCTCTCAGCCGCCCAGAGAGGGGCCCTACATGGGGCCGCCTTCTGGGCCCCTTTCGGGCGCTTTGGGGCCCCTTTCGGGCGACAGCCGGCTCCACAAGGGGCCCTGAATGGCCCCTGTAAGGCCCTCTCCTTCACCCCCATGCCTCCCGCATCCCATTCGCACCCCGGCGAGAACCATCGAGGACCATCCTGGACCATCGAGCAAAACAAACACGCGCGAAACCGAAAAATGAACGGGAAATGGACGTCCGAGCGACGGCAAGCACCCGCCCGACAAGCATGCGTACTGTCGGAGGTCCGCGCAGATCTCTTGGATCGGGCGCTGGACCCCCCTGGCGGGTCCTCTGGCGCCTCCCCTGCTGCCCCTGCCGCGCGCCTCGCGCTGGGGAGGCTGGTCGGGCGCCGATCCCAGAAGTCCGCGAGGACCTCCGAGAGTCTACGTTCGTCCGTGCGGACTGTCCCTTTGTCCAGCGCCCGATCGTGCTCAGGCCCGCCTCTCCTCACGCCTCAGGTCCAGGCGCCAATCCGAGGAGTCCGTGCGCACCTCTGGAAGATTACGCATGTGCTTGTGTAGTTGTTTCTCTTTCTAGCGCCTCATCGCGCTTTAGCCTGCAACTCATGCGAGGTAAAATTCTGCATCGCCGCCAATCTATCCGCAGTCGCAACCAGCCAAATCGGGCGGAATCCCCGTCCACTCAATAAGCCCGCCTTAATATTGGGCCCGATCCGTGCCAATCTGGCTTGGTGGCCCCCAGATCGGGCCTTATAGATCTTACTCAGATCGCTTCCCGTCGCGGAAATATGACCGCGGAAGTTGTCTTGCCAGTGTCAGCCACCGGAGGCCCTCGCCAGGCTCCAGGACCGTAGCACAAGGCTTAGGATGAAGAGACTGTCCCACGGAAGTTGCCAAGCGAAGAGCGGGTCCCAACGTCAGTGGAGACCCATGTCAAGAAACACCCTGCTCACCTCCAGGGTGCCCTGGGTTTCTTGGGGTTCGATGGTTTTGCGATGGAACGCGTGACGTTCCCACACCAGAAATCAATGGACGTCCTGGGGTCTCAGGGTTGGGTTCCTTGTGCAAGGTTTCTTGTGGACTGGCCTCCACTGTATGAGCAGGTCCCCAGGAAGAGGCCCACAGGGAGCCACGCAAAGGAAAAGCACGACGTCGGATGTCTGGCTACAGTCGTTCCCACGAGCACCTCCCAGGATCGGGGAAGCGTGAGGCTCGCGTCTGCCTGTTCTGTCAGAGCGCGGGCTTGCCGCCGCGTGTTGGCGGTCCTGGCGCTAACGAAGTTTGGCGGCCCAGCTGTTGTGAGATGTGTGCCGCGGGAGCCCGCGGGAGATCTCAAGCCAGGTCGCGCCATTTTCTTGACGGCCCCGTCAGGCAAGGTCGAGTCCCCCTAAGCTCGAGTCTCTCGCCTCCCCGACAGGAGCTGCCTCCGACGTGCGTCCTCGCCGCAGCCCGTCGCTCGGCGACCTCGGCAGGCGCCACGGCGCACGAGGCCCTCTCTGGACCCTGCTGCCCTGGCAGGCCCCTGGCTGCCTGAACTTGCTCTCTCGCCTGGGAGCGCGCCCTCGAAGCCCCCGGGGAGGCCGAGGATGTGCTCGCCGCGAAAGAGGGGGGGGGGGGCTCGAAGGACCTCGAAGCTGCCCGGGCGGGCCTCGAAGCCGTCGACGCCCCGTCCGCACGCCCCGCACCCTGCACACGTCCTCAATGGCACCGCGCCCGCCAGGAGCGCCCGAGCGCCCCCCTGGACGCCTTGGTCGCCGGCGGCCCCATCTCCGCGGGGCCGAGGTGCTCGGCGCGGGGCTGGGCGAGGAGGGCGTTATCGGGCTCCTCCCTCCCTTCCTCGTCCCTCCTCGTCCCTCCTCGTCCTTCCTCGTCCCTCCTCATCCCTCCTCCACCTCCTCCTCCTCCTCTGGCCCCCCCCCTGCAGAGCAGCCGACGCGGGGGGCCCCAGCCTCTCCCACGCCGCAAGGAGCCGAATTGCGGCGCGGGCGATGGCGGCTGCCGCGCGCGCGGCCAGGCGTAGCGCTCAGGTCCATGCGGACGCTGCCGCTGCTCGTCGGGGTGCTCAACCCCATGTCGGCGCTGGGGTGCAGGGCCCAGGATATCGCGGAGGAGGTTGCACAAATTGATGTCTTCGCGCTTGTTGGCACGCAGAACGCAGCGCCCCCAGGTTACGCGCACGGAGCCCAGCCGGATGCAAGTGGAAGGCTCGTTCATGACCCTGGTTGGGACTCAGGGGCGGCTGGTTGTAGGCTCCTTTGAGAGCGCAGGGTGGATCGTACACATATGCTGCGACTTGTTTCAACCCCCAGCGCCCCTGCGAGGACGAGCCTTGGCGGCCACATGTAACGTGGGTCGATGGACATCACAGCTGCCGCGATGTACTATCCGCTGGAACCGAGGTCGGCCATGGCTGGGATTCATTACAAAACCTGCGCAACAAATCACACCGCTCGTTGTCGCAGACCTGAAGACTTGAACGACGGTGTCGACATCGGCTCCCAGAGTGCGCAGGGTCACGTGGACGAGGGGGTGATCAGCGAAGACAGTTTCATCAAAGAGTTCACCAAGGGGGCAGGACAACTGATGCGCGAAGTGTTCCTGCGGCATCACATGGCAGTATACAGTGATACAATGACGCCGACCTGATTCGGCAACAACGGACTACATCATGGGCCCCTTGGCATAGAAAAACGTCTGCACGAAGGCGGCGCCACGACTGCGGCTACGACGCCGGCTCCAGGCCATCCCATATAAAGAGCTGAGGGACCACGGGCCGGCGCACGTGAAGATTTTGCACGACCGAGTGCCAACATGCGGGAAACAGCAGCGATGGGCGAAAGAGAAGAGTGGGACCGAGTTGCAGTGGTGCGCGCTCTTCGGTACAGAGACCGCAAAGCACGCTTAGTTTGACAAGCCCAGCGCGCTCCCGAAAGACAGCTTGACAAAGTGTGTCGCTCTTGGGCTTCAACCAACACCTGACACTATCTCTGGCTTCTTGGGAGATAATAGGGGGAATCTTGCCACGATTCGCCTTGGAGCCGAACATCGCAGACGAGAGCGACAAGAACCTTCGACAGGCGAGGCCGGCGGTACTCAGGCAAAGGCGAAATCCACGCGAAGAGGAATGGGCCGCCGAACCGACCGAAAAAAAACCGACGTTCAGCTCGAGCGCATCTCGAGATAATGTGGAACTGTACGCAAGTGGGCCGGGATTCAAGCCAGAGAGGCCATGTCACAAGAAATTCAACATCGGGAAGCTAGACAGTTAGACGGTGTGCACAAGCTGACAGGGCAACAGTCAGGCTGGGAAATACGAGGGTTGGGACCAAGAGGAGAGCTCTCCGAGCAATGCCTCTAGCGAACCCGACGAAAACCGAGTGGATGCAAGCGCTCGAGCGACTTGCTCGGGAGGGAGGAATGGGCGCAATCGAGCCGACGATGCGCCCACATATGAGATGTCCAGAGCTCGAACCAAACGCGCCTGGCGATCTTCCCCGCCTGCCAGGCCCCTGGGGCTACATGCCAGATGATCCTGGGCATCCCCTTGTTTTTGACGGCGATCCTGCGACCGACGCTTGCGATGCAAGCGAGCGAGACATCAAGATATTGAAATGATACCTCTGGACGACAACAAAGAGAGGCATGCCAGCTCAGCCACCGCCAACGGAGCTCTACTGGATGGCTTTGCACCCGCTCAGGGGCGCCAAGAGCAACGGCGTGGGCCTCGATGCTAGCGACGCGGGCAACATCTACATTGAGGCGAGTCGGCATTTGGCCTCCTACAACCAGAGGTATCTGCAGTTCGCGCCAGATAATTGGCGCGTCTGCGGGTAGCTCCTCCCTCATCCTCCCCTCCCTTCCCCCTCCTGCTCCCCCGCCTCCCCTTCCGTGGCCAGTTTGGCCCGATGCCGCGGCAGCGTGCCAGCGTTTCAGGGGTCTTCTTGTCTCCTCCACGGGCGCCGCCCATCCAGCAGGGGCCCGCGCTTGGAGCGGAAGGCCCGCGCGCCCCGCGGCGCCCCTCCCAGACGCCCCCCCGGGCCCCCGTCAGCCACGACGGGGGGGCCCGCGTGGGCCACTCAGGAATTGGCATTCGCGGATCGCGCGCAGGCGCGGGCGACGGGCCCCAGTCCGCGTCGCCGGCGCCGCCAAAGCCGCTCACGCCAGACGCGAGTAGGGGCGGCGCGACAGAAATCGCATCGCCCAGAGTCGCGCCCCCAGCGCCCCTCAAGTCAAAGTATATCTGCGAGTTGGAGTTCGGGAAGACCCAGCATGAGAGGCGCGCCGTCGGTCTCAGGGCAAGCCCCAGCATGCGAGCGCGGGCCCCAACGAGCTCCGGCTGGAAGCCATGAAGCTCGAGCGCCCTGCGAGTGAAAGCCAGAGTGCCTTGGCGAAGAAGATGGCGCCCATTGTGGCTCAGAAAGCGGAAGTCGATGCATTGCGAATTAGGTTCGCCGCAACCGCGGCAGTTGATGCCCTGGGTGTCATTTGCGAAGACCCAGCTTGCAGCGTCTCCAAGGCTGACCTCCCGGACGACGTCGGCGCCCATGGCCCAAGCTTGTCAGCGCGATTCGGCCCGCGCGACATGATGCGTGCTTTCGCGGGCGCGTGCCCAATTTCCAGCGTCGGCACGGACAGAGGTCGGCAACGTTGCCCGAGGATTTGTAGATCGCGCCACTTGGGGGGGCACCACTTAGCGAGATGGGGCTAGTGCCACTATCGACTTTCACCTTCAACCGATATCGAGGCGATCGCTCGTGGGTGGAGGCTGCTCAACCAAACTGTCCCCAATATTGTTCAGATCCTCGCGGATGAACAGGGCGCCACCCTGCCTGGAGGCGGAGGTCGACGTCTCGTCGCCAGCGGACCATTGCGGACAGAGCCATGCGCCATCACCTCGACAACAGGGTCGCGCCTGCGAGAGTTGCTGCCGCAGGTGCTGCACTTCGAGCTGCCGGGGCTGGACAGTCTCCCTTCGCGGCTGCGCGCCGCAGGGGGTCGCCGCCGACCGCCGACCAGTTGGGCGACCCAGAGCGCGACCCGTTCTTCGATCTAGAGCCCGGGATGCGCGGGGATGACGGCGACTTCGCCGGGCCCCCTGCGCTCGCGCGACCTGCGCCCCCCGCCTGCGCGTTTTCGGCGCCGCCCCCGAGTCGCGACCAGATGAGCGACGAGCTAAATGCAGCGGCGCTGCGCGCGTGGAGAGGATCGCCATCTTCAGTGGCGCTGTCGATTGTTCTGAGGGTGAGTGAGAAATGCGTCGGCCACGCTGGGGCCCCTGTCCACGCGCGACCTGCGCCCCCCACAGCCGCGAAATCGGCGCCGCCCCCTGGCCGCGACCAGCAGAGCTTCGGGCTAGTGGCAGCAGCGCTGCGCGCGGGGAGAGGATCGTCTTCTCCGCTGGCGCCGTCGACTGGCGCCTCGGGGGCCGCTGTTTGCGCGCGAGGGCCAGTGCCCACTGAGCTGGGCCTCTCTGCGCGCGTCGTCGCGCGATGGTCAAGTTGGGGCGGGTGCCACCGCTCCAGGCCCAGTGCCATCCGAGCTGAGCCCGAGGCCAACGTCGCCACTTTCGCGCCGACGAGGTCCGCGCTAGCACCCCAGGACCAGCCCGCGCTGAGCTGAGCTCTGGGAACGAGTCGCCACTTCCAGGGCACATCGGGGTCTGCTCTAGCACCCCTCCGTCTCCGCCGGCGGAGCAGAAAACCGGGCACTTGTCGCCAAGGGCACCTGCCGTCAGAGCCCACCGTCGCGCCTCGTGCCCGCCCCAACCGCAGCGACTCGGCGGAGGAACAGGCGGAACAACGGGGCGATATGCGCGATGATTTCAGGTCGGCTCAGTCGAACGAGCCCAGAGATGATCGGCAGAGGTGGCCAGACTGGCGCGATGCCGCAGCGGCGAGCGGTGCCGGGGGCATCCGCCAGGCAACTCGCGCGCCAGACGCCCCTGGGCCCAGCGTGGCCAAGGTCGCAGGGGGGGCCCTTAGCCTCCATCATGGCGTGGCAGAGGCTGCGTTGGCCGAGCGCCGCAAACTCTGGGATTTTAGCCAGTGCCCGAAGGTTACCCAGCTGCCTGGCAGGTCAGCACTTCCTTCAGCCAGCGCACAGACTGTGAGAGAGGCGGCGAACAGTTTCCCGCGCGCAATTGCTGCCGGCATCGGTTGTGCCCGCCCGCGCCACTTTGGCTTGCTACCTGATGATGGGCTCAGCGCGACAGCCGCCGTCCTCGCGGGCCGCGAACGGTTTGGCATCTTGCCCAGGCAGCTCCGTCTTTATCGACATGCCCATGCTAGCGATGCCCGACCAATGGCGCCGCCTGACCATCCTCCGCGCAGGATTGCACGGGGTCTGGCAAAGGCTCCGCAGGCGCGACTTGTTTGATATGCGCGCGCGGCTTGGCTAGCCTGATTGGGGCGACGTCGCAGGTTGCAGCGGTCTCGATTTGTTTCGGCCCCTGACAGCGCGCAGCGAGGCAGCCGTAAGCGCTGACAGGCACAGCGTGCCCATCAGGATGGCGCGCGGTGAGTTTGGCGAGGGCATTCCCCCCGGCGTCCTCCGTGATCGCGCCCCAGCTGCAGGCGCGCCCCTGCATGCTCATGATGTCATGAAGCTTGTTCTGGGTGCCCGGCAGGCCTCGCAGTTCATTCGCGCGGGGCTCCATCGCAGTACTGCCGCCCTCTCGGCCAACAGGGGCCGTCGGCAGTCTGCGCGTTGGCTGGCATGGTTGAAACAGGTTTCGCCGTCGCAGACTACGACGGGCATATTACCCGGCGCCCAATGCTGGATTC